TCAGCTCCACCGCCGGAGATAAACTCAGGCCCTCAAGGTGATAGTGCTGAAACTGAACCCCTAGGCCACCTGGGTAGCCCTATTTTATTTTGATAATTTAATAGATTACTTGGTTTAATGTTACTTGGACTTTGTGATCTAAACAGAGATTTTAGCGAATCACGCCTGTTATGAAGGAAGATTTGTTTGTTGGTAATGCACTTTCACATGTTCTCTCCCACAGAACATGCACTGGCTTGAATGTGATATGCATCTAGATTCAGTGTGGTGAAGACACAGTCCGCAAGCTTTCCCACATATTCTGTCTAAACTCTCACCCGGCATGAATGTCCATCCTGCTCAGGCACATTCAAAGTGAGAATCACACCTGCGTGAACTGTCCTTATTCTGACTCTTGTTAACAGGAAGTTAAAGAATGTAGGCCTGGATCATTTTATGTTCTCAGAGGAATAGAAAGGTAAAACTGACTCTAAGACGCAACATCTTCACTTAGAAAGCCATGACAGGGCCTGTCCTGGTGGCATAACAGATTGGGACGCAGCACTGCAAGATGGCTGAAGCCTCTTCAATGTGAGTTCAATCCCCCACCCAGGAGGTGACCACATGATGCAGCAGACCTCTCCTGACCGGCCCACTAGTCCCCTCAGCAGCGTACTTCGTCGATCTGCCTGTTCTGCTCCCCACTCTGTCTCTGGTGAATCCTCTCACCCTCTGCACCTCAGGCCTGTACCCCAGTTCTGTATGAATAAATAAATAAATCTTTTTTAAAAAAATCCATCACAACCATAAACATGGTTAGAATATTGGAAAGAACATGGATGAAAAGGAACAGAATGTCAATAAAGGTAAGTCACCTGTAGAAAGCCATTCAATTCTAGCAAGCAGCAGAGCCTGGAATTTGAAGCTTATATCTTCTCACAGGCACTCCAGAAAGTTCTATGGTTGGATGGCCACACAAGTGTGTGTGTGTCTTTATCTACTTTCTGAAATCCAGAACAGTGCCTGATACAAAGAAAGCCACCATGAGGGCCCTGAAATGTAGCCCACTGCCTGAAAGAGTTATTGCCACTTCTCTTTGAAACAACTATTTATGAAGCTCTCAGGAATAATTTGAAATGTCTAAGTATCTTGCAGAGAATATTGAAATATCACAACTGTTACTAACACCTATTACCACCTTCATAATTCCAACCAACTCTGGCGTTACAGGCAGGATCCTGGTCAGCTCATCTTCAGTGTTAGGGGCACTTTTTTTTTTAATATCATTTTTCATTTTGTGCATTTTTCATCTCAGTTGTAATCCCCATGGGCTTCCCAATACCACCTCACCGTGTGCCACCACCACACAGTCCAGTGCACTCTTCCCACCCCAGTTCTGATCCCATTACCTCTTCCACCCCAACAAAATGTCTCTGATTTATAGTTGTTCCTTGTTTTCATTTTTACTCTATTACATCACTTTTGCTTTTTTTTTTTTAAAAAAAAGATTTATTTATTTATTCATACAGAACTGGGGTACGGGCCAGAGATGTGAAGGGTGAGAAGATTCACCAGAGACAGAGTGGGGAGCAGAACAGGCAGATCTACAAAGTACGCTGCTGAGGGGAGCAGCTGACGGGTCAGGAGAGGTCTGCCACGCCATGTGGTCACCTCCGGGGCATGCGGGGATCGAACTCATGCGGAAGTGGCTTTAGCTCCTTAGTGCTGTGCTTTAACCCGCTGCGCCACCAGGGAGGGCCCCACTTTTGCTTTTTATACACGCCGACACCAACTCTCTAATGTAGACACCATGTCACACTACTCTGTAGATACCAGGGCACATCAGCACCGTTTGCCAAAACCTCCAGATAAGACTTCCCACTGGAAGAACAGGTAGTTTCACTACTCATTCAACCATGCTGCTGTGTGACGTTATCAGGTGAACAACCCATACTTCAGTACTTGCCACCTTCACGCACTCATTCAAAGCATCTTGCTGATAGCATCACATTATTTATGTTGTAGGCCACCAGCCCATGTTGGCCATGGGAACAGCCAATGTGCACACTTTGCAGGGTGCAAAGGACAAATGAGGGGTTCAGGGGCATGCTGGTGTCATGGAAATGCAAGGAAAGGAGGGCTTATAAAACTCTCACCCACAGGATGATTATTCATATTACAAAGGTTAACTAAGGATGGCTTTAAATAGTACACCTCACAAAGGTATTCAAAAGTCTGACTGAATTGCCAAAGAACATCATTGACAATTTTTAGGAATGGTTTTTATATTATATAAAGGAAGGCACAGAACTGTGCTGGAGTGTCAGGGGTATGAGGGTTTGGGGGGGATCATGCTCCCATTGATCCGGCAGGCCAACCATGCTGTCCCTCAACAGAAACCACACTTGAGCCAGCAGTCTCTCCAGAGGACAGATGGGTGGCACTTAGTGTGATGGCCAAACACTTTCTAATTGATATCGGGACTCTTCATGTACCTCAGAATAGTGCCCACTAGTGTCTGGGGAAGAAAACATACATAAGAAAATAATCTATTTTTTTTAATAGTAACATGAATAAATATAATGAGGCAATGAGAAAGATGAGTCAAATCTAGTATAGCACTTTTAATTTATCAATAATGAACATGGAAGAAATTAATTTCTTATAATCTATGAACTGAACTTTAATTTTTTACCAAAAATTAAGTTCTTTTGCATATCAACTGAAATCTTGTTTATCTCTTGCATATTAGTTGATATTTAATAGTTTCAAATGTCCCTTTTTCGCAAAATCTGAGTTTCTTTTTCCTCCTTTAACTACCACCGCCCCCTTCATGCCTCAAGAAACATTAGCTGAATTTTTTCTATGCCCCAATGGAAATGGGGGGGGGTTCATTTTTATTTTAGTATAACCTGTGCATTAATGGAATCATTAAAAGCAGTCATTTCTGATGATAGTTGGGTGAAAATGAAATGAAAAATTATCAGATTGAGATGAAGTAAGCTTGGAATTGGCTTTTAAATTCTTCCTCAAACAGCCTCTAAAATTCTGAAGGGGTTTGTCAAAAGGAGGGAGGGTCAACTGGCTAATGAGTGTGATGAAGGTACATTGAAGGGTCAGTATATCACCTTCTCTAGAGCTTAATATATCCCTGCTATTGCCCATAATAAAATGCTTTAATCAGGTTTCCCTGATTTTCCTTCATTCAACAAGGCCTTTTTGATTATGAGGATTCCATTTTCAGGGAGTAGGTGGGGATAGGGGAAGTTGGAAAAGGACACCAGATCAGACCCAAATCAACATTTTCTCTTTGCAAAGGAGCCAGGAGGTGTTGAGGGAAGAAGGAAGGATGCTGGAGGGCTCTTCCACACACAGCCACAGACCAGGCACCTGTGGTCTGGAGCTTCACAAAGATACTCCGTATAACTGCAGTCCAACAGAAGATAATTCATTTGAAAATGAATGAATATTAGAAGCCTCCTGTCAAGCCACCCTGGCTGCTGGATTTCAGGAGTCCATCCCTCTTGGAGGACCCCATACCAGCATGGACTCTAAGACTTACTGTCCTGGCAAGCACACCCCAGCAAGGAAAAGTTGGCAGGTTTTAGGGTTTGTAAGCAGGCTGCTCACCCCACAGGCTGCAGGTCTGCGCAGCAAGCCTTTCCCTCTGGGCTGTGACCAAACAGACTGGCCGCTAGGAGGGGGGCAGACAGATAAACAGAGAACTATCATGCCACACCGCTTGATTCTAACTAGACAACAACGTAGCCCTCCACCCCTAACTCCCAAGCCAGCCAACCTTTAGATCAGTGTCTGGTGCACTGAACACAGGGACTTGGCCAGAGAACGCTCAGACACTGAGCAGGAGCCAGCAGACTAGCGGCGCCAGAGCTTCTGACTCCGCAAAAGGATGCGCGCAACTGAAGTCTGGATGCTAAGCGCCCAAGCGTTCAAGGGGACCCGCAAGGAAATGAAAGCGACCAGCGGACCCCTTCGTGTAATTCTTCAGAAAAGCCCTGCGACCCCAGTGGCAGTCTTCCCAAAGCACACAGCTTCTAAATAGCACTCCATTGGGGTCGTGCAGAAAACGCACAGCAACCAAAGCCCCTTCCCTTAAGAGAAAAGTGCCCAACTCTGCCTGTAGTCCATTCTGTCATCTCTGCTATTTTGAAAGCGCACGCGAAGGACAAGGAACCATACCTAGGCAAATCAAGACCAGAACTTGAACCCAAAGAGCGCGTCCACTCGCTCCCCTTTCTGAGCCTGTGTGGAGGCTTCCAGGTCTGT